ATAGCTGCTGCGAGAGATTTCCTTAAGGGGTGGCCCCTGGTGGGTTCACCACATTTCTTCATCTGACCACATACAAAGAAAAAAATAAGCAGCACTCACTGTACCAGAGCAGCACAAAAATGAGTGAGGACACAATGCTGGGTAGGTATAGAATGAAAGCATTGGATTTGGGAGAAGTCGGGGAAGGGGTGAAATATGATCCAAGTAGAAGGTATGAAATTCTCAGAAATAATTAAAATATAAAAATGAATAAATTGAATTTCGTCACAGATAAAACCTTCATCAGCATAGTCATGGCATATGTTACTTCTACACTTGTGCCCTTGAGGAAGCATTTAAAGGAAGGAAAAGGTCTTTCCTCCTCCAATCTTTCTTCTTCTTCTTGTTTTGTCTTTATTTTGAGACAGTGTCTCATTATGTAGCCCAGCTTGGCCTGGTACTCACTATGCAGGCCAAGCTTGCCTCAATTTAATATTCATCTGCATTTATCTGCTTTCCAAGTTTTAGAATTAATGAGGATAATCAAACAAATAAATTAATAAACTGTAAGGAAGGCTGAAAGCAATGTGGCCTTGTCTATAAGTTTTTATCTTCTATTTTTTTTTATGGCCTGACCAAAATTTCCCGTCCCTCTTTTCATCTCAATCCCTCCCTCCCACTTCCTCTCCCCAGCCCCTCCAGCCACTCTTCCTCCTCTGTTTCTCTTCAGACAAGGGCAGGCCTCCCATGACTATCAGCCAGCCATGGTATATCAAGCTGCAGTGACACAAGGCAATTCTTCTCCTATTAAGACTAGACAAGGCAACCTGGTGGGAGGAAAGGGTCCCCAAAGCAGGCAGTAGAGTAAGAGTCAGCCCTGCTCCCAATGTTAGGAGTCCCACAAGAAGACCAAGTTACATAACTGTAACATACATGCAGAAGGCCTAGGTCAGTCCCATGCACGCTCTCTGACTGATAGTTCATTCCCTGTAAGTCCAAGTTAGTTGACTGTGTGGATTTTCTCATTGTGCTCTTGACCCTACTGGCTCCTACATTTTTTTCTCCCCTTCTTCCACAGGATTCCCTGGGCTCTGCCTAGGGCTGTGCATCTCTTCAACTATTTCCATTAGTTGCTGGGTGAAGCCTCTCTGAGGACAGTTGGGCTAAGCACCAATCTATGAGTCAAGCAGAATATCACAAGGAATCATTTCATGGACATTTTTTTTCCACAGTTGTGTTTGGTTCTATCCTTGGGCTCTGGGTTATCCAGCCTCGTCCTGGTCCTCAGGCATGGGACTCAAGCTGGACCAATCCTTGCTTGGCTACTGCCATAATTTCTGTGTCACCTTTACCCCAACATATCTTATGGGCAGGACAAATTGTAGATCGAAGATTTTGTGGTTGGGTTGTTGTTTCAATCCCTCCACTGGAAGTCTTGCCTAATTCCAGGACATGGCTGGTTCAGGCTCCATATCCCCCATTGCTGGGAGTCCTAGCTAGGGAAACCCTCATAGATTGCTGAGAGTTTCCATTGCACTAGGTTTCTAGCTTGTCTCAGAGATGCCCCCCATTCCAATTAATGGGAATAATTAAATACATAAATGAATAAACAGGGTAAGCAAGGCTGAAAACAATGTGGCCTTGTCTATAAATTTTTTAAAGTATGATGAATGCATTATTCACTAACTCAACTTTAGGACTGGCAGATTCTCTTATACTGAATTGGCCAACTTGTTTAAAGCCTCATATTTTGTGGTTGGAATAGTTTCAGTGTTTATTCAGTTTAATTGTTTCATCATACTATCACACAATTACCAAGACACTAAATAGACAACCCTTGTGTTATCAAATCAAATATGTTTATTTTTCAAATAATCTCCAAATAAGATTGTCACTGTTGTGCTGGCGATCTGTCTCCCATATTCTTTTGGAGGGTGTTATGAGTCCCCTGTGGAAACTTCCATCTCAGGACTCATATTTTTATGAGGCTGAAACTCAATAAAACTGTAATTCCTTTTTGGATGAGTCCCTCTATTGTATTAGACCATGCAATTTCTGGGCATGGTGCCTTAAAAATCAACTCTTTGTTTTTCTTTAAATATCTCAGAAAATCCAGTGTTTGTGTCATTTTTGGTTCAGCCTATGGTAAACCAGAACTCTATTTTCAAAAGATGTTTTCACTTTGCTGTTTCTTCTGTGGTCGTCAAATTGCTTGCAGAGCTTTCTTCCAGCTTAGCCATATGCAGGTTTGCTGAATGCCTTTAATGGTTTTTGAACCTGTTATAAACAGAGCTGTAATGATGCTATTCTAAAAGAATCATGCATAATTATATAATAGTAAGATCTAGGTATACAGCATAGGGAAATTACTGAATGGCAGGAGTTTGTCAAGCTAAAGCCAATGTCTTTATGAGGGTTTTGTTTTTTGTTTTTGGGGGATTTTTTTGTGTGTTTGTGTGTGTTTGTGTGTGTGTGTATGTGTGTGTGTGTGTGTGTGTGTGTGTGTGTGTGTGTGTGTGTGTGTGTAAAAGCTGTAGAAGCTGCTCCAAATTTATGAATCAAGATCTGCAGGTAATCTATTTATACATGGTTCTTGTGTCTGTGTGTCTGTGGACTGGTTTATTTTTATCTGTCATCATCATCATCATCATCATCATCATCATCATCTGTCTGCCTAACTTTCTTTTTTTATTAATCATTCATTTGTCCCTTAATTATGCCTTGTAATCTTTTTCATAAGTCCAGTGTTATTGCCAGAATACTATAATGAGCAAGTCTAATGAAAGAATCTAAAAGCGGTGATATTTTCTCTAGCTTATTGAGGTATGATCAATAAACCAAACTTGGATATTTGATATGTGAGATGTTTTAATGCATTCACAGATTGTGAGATGGTTACCAACAGAAAATCAATCCACATATTAATCTTTCACCAAGTAATCATCCTTTAATTTTTTGTGGTAACACTTCAAATCTACTCTTTTTGCAAATTTCAAGTGTTATTAATAATAACCTTGTTATTAATCCAATCACCATGCTGTTCATTGAAACTCTAGTACTAGTTCATCTCATTGCTGAAAGGTTGACCAGCATTTCTTTCTTCCCCTTCCAGACTCCATTACCCACTTTTCTACCCATTGTTTCTATGACTTCTATCTTACTATATTTTAAATATAGATAAGTACATGAAGTCTTAAAAATATGTCTTTATACATATGGCTGTATTTTGCTATGTTCTAAAAGCTCCATTTTCATCTTTATTTGTTAGTTTCCTGAAGTTGATTATTGATATTTATAGGCTTGACACCAGAATTAAACAAGGACCATGAAACTACCTGCCTCACTTCCTTTCTACAATAACCAGTACTGACATGCCATAAGACATTTTCTTAAGTGTTTTCCAATTTTATTTCCTCAGGAAAATCTTTCAAATTGCTGTGTTCTGTTTCTTTCATGTAAAGTTGACTCATTTATTTTGCTTGCAACCATTATACATAATGCAATACCTGTGATCTTACTCATTTGTATGATGATTGATGGTTTTAATTTAAGAATTGCGAGCTCAATCATAAGCTTCTACCTGAAGTAAGAGTCCTGAAAAGAAATAAAAATTAAGTAAATAATTTTAGAATTGCTTATTCAAGGGTTCTAGTCTATATCTGGTTGTAACAGGGATGAGAAAGGTAAGACAAAGTATTTGAATATTTTCTCCATCTTTTCAAAAATTAAGTATTGAGAGACTAATCTTAATAATTTTTCCTAATAACATTCAGAGGGATATGGAAATTCCTCAAAATGTTTGTTTGTTTGTGTGTGTGTGTGTGTGTGTGTGTGTGTGTGTATGAAATCTCCACCTAAATACCATTCAATATCCTCCTAGAAAATATTTTACAAGATGTAAATATTACATAATATTTACATGTTAATAATCAATGACCATTTATAAATTTATTGAGTGATGTTTTTTCCTGTTTCCCCATGGTCCATTAACATCTATACTAACTCAGTTATTCCAAGTAATATGAAGATTTTTTTTTGTCAGAAAACCTAATCTAGGCTCATTATATTTAAAATTCATCTTCATTCAAAATTGTATTAGACAAGGTTCCCTCGATAGAGATGACACATGTATGCAAAGGGATGTAGTCATTGAACTGAATTGTCTTTTGTTCTTATGATGACTCAGAAGTCCCACAATGTATTTCTTGTAAGCTGCAGAGCCTGAGGTGCCATCAGGGTACCTTAGTCTGAGTCTGAAAGCATCAGGATCAGGGAAAGCAATGGTGGTACAATTCTCAGTTCAAAGCTGAAGACCTGAAGAACTAGAGGTGGATCAGAGCAAGGCCTGGAATCTTTTACTTAGGAGAGTTGACAGTTGTAGTGACCAAGAGCAAAAGGAGGAAGTGTCTGAGCTCCAAGTGAGAGAGCAAAGCATCATTTTGTCTGACTACTTCATTTCTTGCCAGCTCCCAACTCCCCAGCTGACCAAATGGTGCCTGTATTTGTTGAGTGGTGATCTTCACACAGCACTGATTTGATAGCCATTCAGACACACTGAAGAGAATGTTTCAACAGTTTCCAGGTACTCCATTCAGCCAAACCAACAACTAAGATGTATCATCACAAACATCTGTATAGTTTTCTACCTAATGTGATTTTAAAATTGGCAAATTTTCATAAGATTTATATTTTAAAATATAAAAATCATGAATGCAAAGTATGGTAGTTTGAGTATAATTGGCCTCCATAATCTCATAGGGAGTGGCATTATTATGAACTGTGGCTTTGTTGGAGTTGGTATGACCTTGTTTGAGGAAGTATGTCACTGTGGGGGTGGGCTTTGGAGTTTTCTATGTTCAGGATACCACCCAGTTTCTCATTCAACTTTCTGGTGCATGCAATATGTAGGACTCTCAGATATTCCTTTAGCACCATGTCTGCCTGCATGCTGCCATGCTCAATGCCATGACGGTAATGGACCAAACCTCTGAAACTGTAAGTGAACCCTTCAGTTAAATGTTTTCCTTATAAAAGTTGCCATTGTCATGGTGTCTCTTCATAGCAATAGAAACCCTAACTAAGACACAAAATAACAGGCCAAAAATGTTCTCATTATAAACTAGTCTATAATTAAATAGTTTAATTTTTTATTGAATTAATCATCTGTTTCTCATTATATATACTAAGCATCTTAACTATTTATAATATATTATAGAAGTACATTTTAATGATTTTTAATGAGCTGTTACAATGTAGTAGAAAGTGTGTGTGCGTGGACAGGTTGGACCTATTTGCTCCTTTTAAAATTTCTTACTAATTTGCAATGGCTTTTGTGTTATAGCATGAATAAGCAAAACCACACAGATCTTTCATTTCAGTTATACTTGAATACATTCTCAAATGTTGGAAATAGCTAGCTTTTATGAAATCCCACATACTTTTAAGAGCTCTAAAAAAAATATTTTCTGAGAATACACCGTTTGCTTCCACATGCTGATACAGGTCAAATTTATTGCTTTTTGAGTTTAAGAATGCCTCATTGAAATGAATACAGTTATAAAATATGTCATAGGTACTTGTGGAGAATCTGCAGGCTCACGCCGCCACACTGACCTTATCACTGCCTTTATCAGCTGTACCTCAAACCTTCAGCTGCAGAGTGTATTTTTGGGACTGAAAATCCAGTTTGGTCAGAGCACCAGTGGGATGACTGAAGGCTTGGGTAATGGGCTATAAAATCTTTCCCATCTAGATCACTGATTGATTTGAGACTGTCACTGAGGTAGGTAGAAAAACAGTGATTGCTGCCATACAAAAACTGTCAAGTCCTGTGAAATGATATTATGGTCTCAATTCCAGTAGACATATTTTCCATCTTGTTCCTAACTTATGATGGCTCAAGAATACACACACACACACACACACACACACACACACGCACACACGTCAGAAACACATCTTATTACTTCCTGGGTCCTTCTGAGTATAATTGTTCTGGTATAAATCATCTCTGAAATCATGGTGTAGAAAAAAATTTTTTTTGATTAAGTTGTCCAAATTGTGTCTTCACACAATTTTCTGTCCAGAATTCAACGGGCACATTTTTACCTAGGGGAATCTTCTAAGGTCCAATTTGTGTCCTATTGTACATCTTAACGATGTTTAAAATAATTATATTTTTGTCTTTACTCTTAACTATATATCCCCAAACGTTGTTCAATAATCCAGAGGCAACATTTTCTCTAAATGATTCCACCAAATCAAAACAGAACAAGCACTAAGTTTGATCAGCAAGAATGTCGTAATTGACCTAAGCAGTAAAGAATGTGGCCGTCTGACTTGGTATTAGGTTACACCTCACGGTCCAGGCATCTTGTTTGCCTTAAATGGTTTCACAAGCAGGAGGCTGACCCGGAGCAGATTCTCAGGGGCTGCAGAGAGAGCAGCTAAACAACAGACTTAATGAGGTTGGAATTTCACACACTGTCTTAGTCAAGGAATTCAGGATACAGAGAGAGCAGTTGTAGTTGAACGGCAGTTGCTCCGGGCTTTGCATCAGGAAACAGAAACTTTCTCCACAAATAGTTTCTAGAAGTTAAAAAAAAAATTGTCCGTTATATTTACGTTAAAAATCTAAACATGTGTCAGGGAAAGGATTCATGTATTCACATTGTTAACACTGAGGAAGTCAAGTTCATCAGCCAAAAAAATATGGAGCTTCATTTATTTATCCCAAGTCAGGAAGGATCCATAGCATGCCCTAATAGACTTTGATATGCTGGAAGTAAACATTTTATTTTCCCATTTTGTGTCATTACAATATCTACCAAGCATAGTGAATTTATTTGGTTATGTGCCTCTGTGGTGACAATAAATGCTTTTCAAACAGTCATTTAGGAAGCTTAAATTACTAGTATGGAATTGTGATGAGAATAGGATCCAGAAACTGGTCAGGTGGGTAGTTTTAAGTATGTGCCCCAAAGGTGAACAGTTTTGATTTTTGACTCTTGTTCTTGGCTAGAAGCCAGAAATGACTTTGGTTCTCTTGGCAATTCTGTCATTGAAGGAGGCCAGAGATGCCACAAGGGAGGTCTGGTTTGTTAATTCTCTTGCTTTAAAAGAGCACCTTGACTAGAAATTCCATCTGAAGATTTGGGCAGCCCTGGGAGGCAGCTGGACACCTCATGGATGAGCCAACGATATGGACCAGAATGTACCCAACTCTATGTCACCCCAGTTCTCCAATAAGTCGTATGAACATCTTTGGGATAATTGCTTGCTGCTGTTGCGATTTTGGGGGGCCCACTTCTGCCGTACAGGGTTCTACCTTTTTTTCTCTCTCAATGCCCACCTAAAATCCAGTAATTAGACTTCATCCTGAAACTCAGCATTCAGTGGTCAGTGAATTTCATTCTTTGATGACCCAATGGCTTTGGTGGCCATTAATTTTCTGGAAGCCTGCCCCCATCCTGAGCTGCAGCTAGTTTGAGACTGCTGCTTCTATCGTTTTTCCATGATGTTTCACTTTCCAGAAAAAAAGCACACAGTGAGAATCAAAGGTATTAATTGAAGTTCCCAGAAAACAAAACAAAAGAATAAAGCCCTCACATTCTCTAATTCTGATTAAGTGATTAGAGATTTATTCCAAGTGGAGAGTTGAAATGTTTCCAGGTCCAAAGACAAACTATTGTAGGGTATTTTACTTAGCCTCTTGAATAGCCATTTGTGGCTTACCGCCAGGTATGACTGAAAATTTTCATGACCATTGAGTAAATATTTCAGGTATGTAAAAGGGACCCTTGCTTCCAGAAAGCCAAAGGCTGAGATTGTCATCAGAAAGCCTCTGAGACTTAGAGTAGATAGATCCCAACCTTGCTGGAACCTCTACTTGCCCAGTGTTTCCACAATGTTATTGAAGAGCGTGTTTCTTAACATCTTAGTGCTCTCAGCATAGAAAAATCTGCCAGGCTGCAGTGGCGCACGCCTTTAATCCCAGCACTCGGGAGGCAGAGCCAGGCAGATCTCTGTGAGTTCGAGGCCAGCCTGGTCTCCAAAGAGAGTTCCAGGAAAGGCACAAAGCTACACAGAGAAACCCTGTCTCAAACAAACAAACAAAAAACAAAAAAAAAAAAAGAAAAGAAAAGAAAATCCACGAAGATGTTACTACATAGGAATGTGTTTACTGACATAGGAATGTGTTTACTGATGTGGATGACAAGTCTATTTCACTTTCCATGAAAATTTTCCACTGCAGGGTATTGATAGCAATGACCTCCAGACTGGGTTCCTAAGGGCAAGAGTGCCAGCAGCTGTAACTGAACTAAACTGTAGCTCTCTGTCCACCACGCTTACTCCTTTCTAATATGCCATTGTTTTTCTTAATTACATTTAATTTTTTTCATTGAAAATATTTTCTTTTAAATATAATATGTTCTGATTATGGTTTCTACTCCCCCAACTCATCCCAGATCATCCCCACTTCCCCACTCACCCAAATCCACACCCTTCTTTCTTGCTCTCATCAGGATATCAACAGGCATCTACAAAATTAGTATGAGAAAAGTAGTTAGATAAAAACAAAAGAAAAAAAGCCAAAGAAAAAGCTCGAGATACACATATAGCTACTACACACATACACATACACACACAGACACACACACATACACACACATATACACAAATACACACTCATGCATGCATGCACTTCCTCACATGTGCGTGCCCACACAGACACACAGACATACAGACACACATATAAACATACAGATACACACACACACACACACACACACACACACGCACGCGCACACGCACTTGAACATACAGAAATACCATTAAAAACACAAAGCTGTAATTGAAGCCATAATATATACAAAAAGGACCTGTAAAGAAAAAAAAAAATTAGCCCCGAGACAAAGAACCTCCAAAAAAAGCCATTAAGTTAATTCTGTGTTGTAGCTATCTACTATGGCTATCTACCACCTGTTGCCACAAAAGAAACATTTTATGTTATTTTTCTCATCAAACATTTCAAACTACCATTTTGTAAGGAAGACGTCTATGACTGAGATTTTTCAGTCTACTAGAGATTTTTTTTTACTTATGCACAATGTATTTATAAAGAAGAAAGGAATAAATGATATCAGTCTTAATACAAAGTTCTCAACTCATATATATGTGGAAAATTGATGCTGATGGCAGTGATGGTGATCTTCCTTCAATGACCTCATCTCTGTCATATCCCCATTTCCTAATAATGCATTGATCTTAAGATACACAATTAAAACAATGGCCTTTACTAAAATACAATAAACTCTTTAAAATGTTCTTTTCATATATTCAATGTAAACAAATTTGAACGTTATTTTCAAATCCCTATTTATAAAATACATCAGGGGAAAATAAAAGCATATATATATGTATATATATATATATATATATATATATATATATATATATAAATGAGACTGCCTACTTTAACATTTACTTGTAACTGGAGTGACACCCAGCTAATATTTTTTCAAATTATGATGACTAAAATTGCAGATGAAAGCAATTTATTTCAGCTATGATATGTTGCATTCAAAATTGCAGTTAAGACTTATATTATCAAATGCCATCTTCAAATATGTATTAATTGCAGGAAATAACTATCTTCATTTTAATTATTGTGGGTTAAAATATATTCTACTTCCTGTTAACAAATCAAATTTTAATGATAGATGTTGGGCTGATTATTTTTCAGTAGCATATCCTTTTCTTCCAGTAAACAGACAGAAAAATTTTGATCACGATGTCTAATTAAAATAATGAGGTTATTCATGTCTACTTTTCCTGGAAGCTGAAAGTCAGAGTTGCACACATGCATGGATGTATTTTCTAAAACATTATAATATTCCTTCGCTTTCATTGTTAAGCAATCTATATTTGTTGCTTTATATTGCATCGATGTATTACAAATATAGGGTGATACTTCAAAACATTCCTCCAACTTGGTTACAATACATTGAGCTCTTTTAAATTTTACTTAACTAATTCTTAAAAAGTTCCAGTCATAATTTTATATTTCCTGGAATGTATTGTTTGATTTTTTGATATTTAAAAGTGAGCATTAGCAGATATATTTGAATAGGAAACATGAAAGAAATTTCTTGCACAAATTGTACATCTTGTTTGATATACCAAGGTGTATGTGTGTGTGTTATGTGTATGTGTTATTATGTGTGTGTGTGTTAGTGTCTGTCATGTGTGTGTGTTATTGTGAGTGTGTATTATTGCATTGTGTGTGTGTGAGTGTGTGCAAGCATGTATGTGTATGTCTGTGTGGAGGTCAGAGGTCAACATCAGGTACCTTCTGTCAGTCTCTACCTCAGTCCTTGAGACAGAATCATCCACTAAATCCAGAGTTCACCATTACAGCAAGATCAATTAGTGAGTAAGCTTCAGGAATTGTGCTGAATATATTTCCCAAGCTAGGTTTACAGGCAAGAGCCACCATCCCAGACTTTCATTTTTAAATGTGTGTGCTATGGATTTGAACTCAGGGCCTTGGGCTAATGTGGCAAGTGCCTCATTGACTGACCCAGATCCCAGGTTCTTGACTAACTGGTAGACCATTGGGAACAAACATTAATTCTGAAGCAGTGATGTTTCACAAGCCCCTGAAAAAAAGCTAACTTGTGAAGCTCTCCAGTTTAGTAAAACAGACAAAAAAATTTGAAGTACAAGAAAAAACAAAAACACGTTAACCACACAATTGTACTTTCAGTAATGCTACAGTATTTCAGTATTTCAGAGCTACCAACCAGAGGATGCTGAGAACAGACAAATGTTTTCCCATTGGGGAAAAACATACTATATAGCTGTGGCAGTTTGAATCATATGCCCCCACCCCGCCCCCCACCCATAGTATGAGACATTTGGTTGCTTTGTCACTAGCTGATGGCACTTCGGGAAGGCTCAGGAGGTGTGGCCTTGTTGGAGGTAGTCTTGGAGGTTTCAGAAGCCATGCCAGTTTTCTGCCCAAACCTTGAGACATGAGCTCTCAGCTCTGGCTGTCACCAGGCCTATCTGCTGCCACACTTCTTTACCATGACAGAGAAGGACTCTCATCCCCCTGGAACCTTAAGCCCCAAATGAACTCTGTCTTCTATAAATTGCTTTGCTGGGGTCCTTTGTTCTAGCAATAGGAAAATAACTAAAGCATTGGTTCTGCATTGATGTCTCGGAAGAGTGGGGATTGAATCACCTTATTCTTCTGTGAGTCTTCAGACACTCTAATCTCTCCAAGTCTCCTCACCTAGTAAACATGCTTGCATGTGTACTGTGAGTGATCGGTACAGAGTTTCCTCACACACCCAAGTCTATTACCCACCGTGGGAAATGAATGAAAAAAAGTCCCCATTTACCTACTCCTGGTGTATGCCCAAACTCCAACAACATACCATTACATGGAGGAATCAGCAGCTGAAAACCTTTCTGTGAGACTTTTTCAAAAAAATTGTACAGAGACTGGGAATACATGACTAAAAAGACTGGCTTGTGAAAGACACAAAGCCCAAGGAAAAACCTAGATACAGTGGCAGGATTCAGATTCCATTCTCTGCTGCAATAACGAATTAAAATAGTATTGGAAAATAAACAGAGATTCTTAACATGGATGGTATTAAGGAACTTTGATCAATCACAAAGCACATTAAACCAGCATCAGTTTTGTGTTCCAAAATTGAGTCTATTAAGATTTTCACAGAACTACAGATAGCCTAGGAATGCTAGGAGCAGGAGAAATAGTTTTCCCCAGGGAAGAGAACATCAATTCCTTAGCAAATACCAAATGGTCAGCCCTGAAAACATACATACAAGTAACATTATACATACTGAACAGGGAGTGTTTATGAATATATATGTATATGCATGATGCATGTACATATATGCATGCAATAACAACTACAAAAAGAGACCAAGAATTTGAAAGAGAGCAAGGAGCAGTATAGGGTTTGGAGGGAGGAAGGGAAGGGTTAAATGTTTAATTATGGTATAATCTCAAAAAGAATAAAGAAAACTGTGAGAGAATCTGGAAATGACATTAGCAGTGCCTTCCAGTATGGCTGAAAGCAATATAAAGGACTGTGCTAATGTCTTTGTTTTCCTCAGATTTATAGAATCAAAACAAGGAGCTGAGTTGAATAGCTAAAATTAATTGTGTGTAAGTGATATAAGGTGATGTGTATGATGAAAATCAACTTTACTTTTTTGGAAAAAATAAAGATAGTAAGAAAAAAGAAATCTGATGCCTTCATCACATGGAAAAGATAACTAAATGTATGTGCCAAAATGCTTGTATTTGCTCAGATGATATCTTAGGGATGAAGGTTCAAGATACCCGTTTATTTGTCCAGATTCAAATGTTTTATTGCAATGTTTGTTTTTTTTTTTTTGGTCTAGAAAGAATTACACAGAAGTACTTCACAATGCAAAGAAGTGGTTTGAAACTATTTCTTGATTTTTAAAAAAAAGTTTAAATACACATATAAATCTAGAACATCCCTCCTCAAAACACAGGTAGTAAATATTTTCATTAAATATCCATTAAATTCTAGCGCTATCTCTCATTAACAGCAAATTCCATTTAAGAACGTTTGAAGCTCTAGTTACTGGGTCTGGGACCAAAATAATTCTCCCAATTTGAGAACAAGTATCAAGATTCAGAATTGATTTCAGTTAATGAAAATTTGCTGTACACAGGACAGATGTGGAGAAATCCAAATGTGAGAATAACAAACACATAATTTAGTCCTCTTCCATTTTTTTCCCCTTTTCATAAAGAAGCCTAAAATTTCTTTATTTCTACCAAGGTGTAAAATAAAATGCTCCAGTGCTGTGAATATGCCGTACAGATGTCATTACCTCTTTAGTCTTGGCAGCTCCAGCCCCAGGCAAGATTGCAAAGGTGATTGACGCTGACATCACCAACCATACTATAGGCAGATTTTCCTCCTCTTTAGAGATATTTTTTTTCCCCATTCTTAAGGAACTCTCCATCCTGGTGAAGTTTCCTGACCCCTACCAATTAAATCAGTCTTCAGTGAAGGGATCAGCCTCTAGTGTTCATCCCTCTCTGCCAATTTAAGGCAAGGTATTACTTTACCAAATTCCTTGACATTTTAAGCCATCTTTCTAATTGTGGGTTCTGTGGCTTTGTCCTCTGGAAAAACAAATCAACTACTTAAAGACTCATCTTCTCAAGGGAAAAAGCCACAGCTTCCTTGCTCTCCCTGTGTGTTCTCTCCCCCTCTCATTCCCTGTCATATCTTTCTCACTCTCTCCCTCTTTCCTATCCCTCCCTCCCTCTCTTTCTTGCTAGCATCCCTCTGTATGTGTGTGTACGTGTATATGTGTATTGTGTGTATGTGGCAGAAAGAAAGGATTTAACAGTGTCATTTTTCTAAGCAAACATGACTGACTGGAAGATTATTGCTCAATTAGTGATTCCTAGGTCACCAATTAATCCCCCTGACCACTCAGTCAGAGTGACCAAGGA